GGGGGGGGGGGGGGGGGGGGGGGGAAGGGGGGGGGGGGGGGGGAGAGGGCTGGGAAGGATGGGGGAATCATTATCTCGAAAATCACGAAAGCTAGAAAGCTGAAATTTTAAGGTTATGTCCCCTGCTCACGTACGACTCCTACAGATTCAAACATGCCTGGGCCTCACGGCCACGTGAAAGTTTTGACGAGGGGAACTGTTATCTTGAAAGCTAGAAGAGCTAGGAGGATGAAAATTTCAGGAGGATGTTTTCTGCCTATACAGGAACCTCGCAAACTCAAATTTAGCTCCAAGTATGCCGAGATCTCACGTACGGTCGTGTGAAAGTCCTGGCGCAAATGTCATTTAGAAGTCAGAAAATTAGGAGATTGAAATTTTGGAAAGGCATTCACCGTCCAAGGTTTCAGATTCAGCTTTCTATTATGCTTACGTTCCAAGACCCGGTACGTGAAATTTTCAGTGAGAAATTCTGTAGCTTAAGAACCAGGCAACATATCAACTATTTTTGTGCAGACCAAAGTGTAAAACAATGAAAATTCTTAGCAGGCAAACGTTAGCTGGGCGGAGCTGCACAAAACGCATGATCGCACCGGCTGCCCTGGTGCGCGTCGCTGTTTTATGCGTTTTTTGCTGTGTAACAGCGGTACAAAACGCATATTGTCGCAGGGTTGTGTGTGTCCTACATTTTGCCCCGCACTTTCAACTAGGTAGCCACAAAAGCTAGGCGGCTAAAATTTTAGTATATTGTTCCCCGCCAACGGATGACACGCCGCAAATTTAAATTCAGCCCTCCCATACCCGCGGATAACACGTACGGCCCCGTAAAAGTTTTTCGGGTAAAATCAGTATCTCGGAAACCACGGAGGCTGGAAAACTGAAATTTTATATTTCCTGACCACGTGCAACCCAGAAACCTCAAATTCAACCTTCCTGTACCCGCGGGTAACACGTACGGCACTGTAAAATTTTTTCGGGTAAAATCAGTATCTCAGGAATGACGGATGCTGGGAAACTGAAATTTTATGGGTATACTTTGTGACACGTGCGACCCAGAAACCCCAGATTCAACTTTCCTGTACCCGTGGATAACAAGTGCGGCACTGTAAAAATTTTTCGGGTAAAATTATTATCTCGGGGACCACAGAAGCTGGGAAGCTGAAATTTCATGGATGTACCCTCTGCCCACGTGCGACTCAGAGAACTTAAACTAAACCTTCTCGTGCCTGCGGGTAGCATACACGGCCTTGTAAATTTTCATCGAGTAAAATTGTTATCTCAGGAACTGCAGAGGCTAGGGAGCTGGGATTTTATAGGTGTGCCCCTTGACCACGTGTAACCCAAAAAATTTGGATTCACTTTTCCCGTGCACTTGGGTATCGCGTACGGTCCTGTGAAAGTTTTGGCGGAAAATTATCTTGGGACCCGTGAAAACTAGTAAGCTGAAATTTCAGGGCGATATTTTCTGCCGCTGCAGGTATCTTGCAAACTCAAATATAACTCTCAACTTTGCAGGGGTCTTACATAAAACCAAGTGAGAATTGTGATATGAAAGTTGCTAGCTCGGAACCCGAAAAACTACAAAGTTGAAATTTGGAGGGATGTTTCTCATCCGTTCTTTCAAATTCAGCTCTCACGTACCGGCACGTGGAAGTTTCAGTGAGAAATTCCTTATCTTAGGAGCCAGACAGCATATCTATTATTTTTCCATATACGAAAGTGTAAAACAGTTATATTTTTAACAGGCAAACGTCCGTTGGATGGAACTGTGCAAAACACATGATCGCACCGGCTACTCTGGTGCGCTTCGCTATTTATTTATTTTTTTTGGAAATGTGCATGCATTTACACTACCATGGATCGAAAAACACTGTTCCTTTATAAACTGTTAAAGAAAAAAGTGGGTTTGTGTTGACTGGTGGGAATGTGTGTGCACGCAGTGTTGAGTAGGGAAGAAATGCGTGCTGAGTTTAACTGAGGAATTTTTCAACTCTTGATTTTTACATATCTGGAGAACTGTAGGTTGCACAGGAAGCATAACTGTTCCGCTGCTTTTTCTGGCTGGCCTCTTTCATTTATCTAGGTGCCATTAAATGCGCCCAAAGCGGGTAAGGGCAAATGGCTTTTTTGCTGGATACCCGGAATTACGATCCTCGAAAATGTGAATAAGGCAGAGACGACTTTTTTTTAGTCACTGTTAATGTATTCGACGTACATTTATTGTAGGCTTTGCCTAAGAACAATATGACAAAGGATGTGCGACGTTTTGCGATGTGGACGCGCTATCGCGATGTGCGTTATCTCTGGGATGTGCTAGCCGATGTGCATAAACGGGTAAGTCAGTTAGTCCTCTATAAACATTTTCTTTTCGCTTCCACTCTATACATCTGTTGATGATGCTGAAACTTGCTTGTTCCGTTAATCGTTAATTACAACAAAATTTGAGCAACTGGTTTCATCCTTACGACCAAGGCAGCGCGTATCGTTTCACTCTAACCTTATATCGCCCTTTTAACTCCATACTACCTGAATACTTGAGCAGCTGTGTATCATCGACATTCGTTGTCGCACTATCGGTGCAGCTGGCAACTTCTGCGTTCAGCTCGTTGTTGCGCTCTCCGAGACCACTTGCTACCGCACAGAAGTACCATGAGGTCTCTCTACCTTGCTAGTGGCCTCCCCAGTGTTCTCCTGGTCGTGTGCAGGTACCATTACATTATCCGCTTTGTCCATCTGTTATTTGTCACTCGTGCCACATGACCAGCCCACCTCTTGCTGGCGTACACTGCTTTGATAATGTCTTTCACACTAGATCTGCCTCGGAGTACTTCATTTGGTATAAGCTGTAGCCTGTTGGCGCCAACCATCCGTTGCTTCATTGCTCTTAGAGATACTGCTAATTTATAGCGTGGTATTCCACGTCTCACACCCAATAACATGAGTGGTAGAACGGTCGAATTAAAAATTGCTGCTTTTGCAGATTAAATAGTTTTTTTGTCGTAGAATATATCGCGGAGCTTGGCGAAAGTTGACTACCCTGCTTTTATCCTTCTTGTTATTTCGATGCCCAAGTCATTATTCATCTGCACTGTTTGTCCCAAGTAAGTATAGCTATCCACAACTCCCATGGAGTCTTTGTCCAGTTTCATGTCGAACCAAGAACAGCAAGCGTTTTTCATCCACGTGGTTTTCTTGATGTTAACTGTGAGCCCGATTTTCTTTGTCCTCGTTACGAACTCGTTTAGCAGATTCTGCAACGATTGAGGGCTTTCTGCAACAAGAACTGTGCCCGCAGGGAGTAGCATTTGCAGTTTCCCTCCATCAATAATGATTCCATCTGTTACATCCATACTTTTGAAAACGTCTTCTGGCGCGCAGGTGAAAGTTTTCGGCGAGCAGATGTCACCTTCTTTCACGCCTCATTTTACTTCTTTTAATTGTGGGTCATCGAAGAGGGTGATTTTCGTATGCGACCGTGTTATAGAGTCTTTAATAACAGCAGTGTATGCTGGATCGACTCCTTGGCCACGAGAGCATTGAGCACAGCGTTGTGTTCAACTGAGTCGAAAGCTTTTCTTAATTCAGTGAAAACCAGGCGCAGTGGAACTTTATATCCCCGGCACCGCTCTTCCAGTTGTGTTGGCGCAAAGATGCGAACAACTGTGAAGGATTGTTTCTTGATCCTCGTTTGCGCTGTTCTCTAATTTTCATGAAGAATTTTTTCGATTCAAGAGTATATTACTCACATGAAGATTTTGCGCATTTGGGATAACAAGTGTATTGAACTTTAGTTGGCTCTTTTCTCCAAGTCGCTTTTTTTTCGGCAGCAGTGTGGTTTTGAATCTCTTCCACTCTTCTGGCATCCTACTTGTTTCTAGGTACCAGGTGGATCGTGTGCTGAGTGCTTTTGTTATCGTTTCACCGTCGACTTTTAGTTCTTCGACACGGATTCGGCCCAGACCTGCCGCCTTATTCCTCTTTATAGAGCGAATCGCGACTTCGACCTCGCTAGAAGTGATAAAGGTGAAGAAGAGGTTCTTGAAATGTTAGTGCTCCGAACATTGACAGAAGGCGCAAATAGATCATAGAAATTTCCGCAAATGGTTCCCATTCGCCTCCGAGTTGTTGTTTTCTATCTATTCTTGTCCGAGAACGCCACTGGGATATTTTGACGCTGTTGCACTTCTCTCCACGCTCTTTTCAAGCTTATTCTCTGCCCTGCTGCGTATCTTCTTCTTTCGATAACTGTTGTAATCTTCTGTTATTTGTCTTAACAATTTGCACAGAAGTTGGTACTCCAGACTGATATTGCTTTCGACACCACTTCTCGTCTCTTTCGAAGAAGATTAAGCTTTTCATGACTTAGACGGCTTCTGATGCATTTGACGACATTTACCTGAACAGCAGTTTTACACTCAGTGAGCCTGCCGAGAAGACTGTGGTCTACATCTATGTTGTTCTCGGCGATTTTCCAGTTTTCACGTTCAACAGCTTATAAGAAGAGGTCCTTTGAAAACTGGTTCGGCCTTCTACTGTAGATATTTCTCTTCTGAACTCTTCTCCCTTTGTTGAAATCCATTCTAGTGTGGCTCTCACGATGCAGTGATCAAAATGGACCGAAACTGCCGATTCCGATATGATAGAGACATCTGTAACCATTCGTCGTTTGTCAGTGAGAATGTAATCGATTTCAGTTTTGTACGCATTGTTGGGTGCGCGCCAAGTCCAGCGTCTGCCCAATCATTTTTGGAAGAAGAATTTCATTACGTAGAACTTGAAACTTTCTGCGAAATTAGCAAATCTCTGGCCTCTGGCGCTCCTCGCTGCTTGGCCGAAGCGCTTGATATGCGCTTCTGAGTCTTCCCCTTTACCGAGTTTGGCGTGGAAATCTCCAAGGGCGATTGTGTATGCAGTCTGATGTTGCATCGCGACCTTGAATCCTTCGTAGAAACGTTCATCGACTTCGTACTCCACTGCTAAAGTGGGCATATAAACGGCGATGAGCTTCATTTTGGCTTTTTCGTTAATTCGTGTAGCAAGCACTCCAGTGCGTGAGAACTCGACCTCGCGTGAGGGGATTCGACTTGTTGCCGTTGGCCTCATAGTGAATCCGATACCGTCCACTCCCCTGTCAGCTGTTCCCAGCATGACCTGATTGCCGTTGTCATATTTTCCCCTTTAACGTCACCCTCTGCCTGGTTTCATTGATGGCAAGGATGTCGATGCGGATGTTGCGGAATTCGCGCAGTAGGAGGTCATCAACGTCGTCATTGCTTAGCATTCTAGCGTCCAACGTGCCCACGCGCACAAGAAACCAGGTACCGATCCCAGTACTGCGAGATTCTTAGCACCCTCTGCTCCCTCGTCAGTTCCTCCACCATCGTCACTGTAAAGGCGACAGGAAATTGCGCAAGACTAAGGGCCATTTCTTTTGGACTTCTCTTTCATACTTGCTTTGACCATAACTACATCGCCTGGTGGTCAGCCTCCTGGCTTTCTTCATTCTCCGAAGGAATTGTTGGCTCAATGACGCAGCCAGCAGAGGCACTCTGACAAGGATTTAGCCGCTTGGAGTCTCGTTGTGTTGAGCATCACCACCTCGCCTTCCAACTCTACCACTCCCAGAACACGGTGAAGTACCTTGTCTCCTAGGAGTCCTAATTTCATATAAACTTAAGACTGGCTCCTTCGATCTTGCTGGCAGCTCTCTCAGCGCTCGTTTAACATCTATTCAGCGATCCACTTTGTCTCGGTGTCATTTCTCATCTTTGTCATTTACATCAGGCTGGAAGCACAGCATCCTCAATGATCCAGTCAGCAGAGGCACTCTGGCAAAGACCTAGCCGCTTGGAGCCTCATCGTTGAATCTCTACTACAACTTGCTGCCACCTAGTATACGTCATTTCATGACTGCCTTTTTCCCGTAAAACACTCTTTTGCTGGGAAAGGTTTGCTCGAAATGGAAGATGAAAACACACGCACAGTCTTAAATCACAAATTTACGCTGAAACTCAAAATTTGACCGACTCGAGAGAGTTGCTGCGCACTCTTAGCACCATAGTCGAGTAATGTCATTTCAGTGTGTCTGTT